AAAAGTTATGTGGCATCTCTCATCTACCCACTCTAATGACAAAAATGATCTTTTGCAAACACACATTTTCCTTAGTTCCAAGTTTCGCACGACATTTTTAAATACCTCTCTAACAACACAGTGTTCATGTCGAATACATGTGTAACGTAGTGGTGGTGATATACAATTTCACTTACATGTGGGTGAAAATGTTTGTTTCAAAAAGACACTTTCAGATTGAATTCTATCTCCGTTTACACATGGATCCCTTTAATGGATGTTGAGAGTTTTGATTTAGAAAGTTTAATAGGCTCGTTTACATTTTGCAAATCTCTACCTTTGAAATAAAAATGCAGTGACCCACCCATCTGCAGACAATTAAGACCAGCAGCCGAGTATAAAAGGGTGGAGAACTTTTAATGGGTGTTTATAGATTGGAAGCACCGACCCCCTTTTAAATGAAAGAGGCCTAAGAAGAAATAGTAAGTGTTAAGGATAACCATGAAATTCATTTAATCCCCCAAGCAGAAGGTCTGTTATCAAAGAATTGGCAGGACTCTAATCCTTCCAACTTAAGGTTCTTAGCTAAAGTACTTAGCAAAAGTACTCAGAAAAGAAATATCTTATTTAGAAGTGTCTTGATTATAATTTCGTAGCTGCTTTAAGGTCAAAACACAAGCCCACAGGAAGACCAACAGTAAGGTATGTGATATAAAAACAAATATTTCCATAAAATCTTTGCCCTAGCAAAAAGAGAAATTCTTAGTAGGTTCAAGGTGGGAATTTAGGGAATAGTATTTTTTTACAGGAAATACTGGTTAGGCGTTTTATATAGGGGGTTCTGCATTTGTGAAAGGATAATTTGCTCTAAAATATGTGGGCAACCAGCCTAAATTCTCTAATTGAGTAGTTTGCTCATAACCCCAGGCCATTAGGTGAATGTAAACTGTTACAGGCTTAGTAAGAAAATAGTCCCATTAGGATTTTTGTATTTGTATGTGGTTGTGGGTTAGAGTAACTGTTTCCAAAATCATGGATTAATGAAAGGCTCTTTTTTCTGAGTTTGCAAATACCAGCTTTGAAATGCTCAAACTCAAATTAAGGCAAAGATTCTTTCTTGCGTAGTTGTTTTGGTTTGGTTTTGTTTTTTGTTTGTGGGGGGTTTTTTGTGGTTAAAAAATTTTACAAGATCAAGTCTCAGCTCTAAGTTCCATTGTTAGCTATCTAAGGAAAATTAGAGATACTGAACTGACTGGTTGTTAATAAAGGACAACAGCCACATGTTATATTTGATACTGCCATTGAAATTCTTTGCTCATGTCCTAAAATTCCCCTCATTGGTCACTGCCAAGAAACTTGACACACAGAAAATGGGGATGACTTTTTGAAAATAAAGACTGGTGCCGAAATTCAAGAAATGTGTACATATGTTTCATTTGTTTCTTGTCCTGCTTATAAGCTCATATTACTGTGAAGGAGAAAGCAACTTTACGCGGTGCTTCTTGCATCCAATCCTGGGCTCCTCTTCTCAACTAAAGTCTATTTTCTTTCCTGTTCCCCAGTCCTCGTTCCTCTGTTATCATCCCACTGCTTCTTACAAAGCTTAGAATACTTGTATAGCTCAGAGCAGGGCAAGGAAGGACCCAAGATAGACTATGTAATGTTTCTTCAAATCGATAACTATAAATGCAGAAGAAATTCAGTCAGAGGAGGAAAATATCTGACCAAACAGATCAGATAAACTTAATAGACGTATTCAAAATTAAGTTAATTCATGCATCTTTTGCACATCTCCATATCCCCGCTGAAAATGGAGCTAATATTAATAAGGTTATGGGGACGAGTATTACATCAAATCTTTTAGAACCTGAGTTACGCAAGAACTCTTCTTAGCAATTAAAGAAATAACAAAATTACAGTTAGAGCCCAACACCAATCTCTTATGCCACCTGGAGCAGTGTTTGGCGTTTTCACAGGCTGTTTAACTTTTTACTCTGTCAGGTTTCCTTTTTTCCATTTTAAAAGTTCCTATTTCAAAACATACCAGTACAGCAATACCATAAATATAACCTAAATAATTTGGTTGAAAAATCAGAATAACGTGAGATGGAAGGAAATGTTTTCTTAAAAAAAAATTTTAAAGAAGATACTGAAGCAGAATTGTTCCGAAATGACTTGTGAGAAATGAGATATTAAACTCACAGACACGGGTGCATGTGAAAAATAAAGAAGGGATTTTAAGAGAGCCTTGCTCTACTGTGAAGGTAAGTTGAAATTCCCCACCTTGAAAGAATGTTCTAAAGATTTCCAGGATAGTTCAGTAGTTTTGAATAGCTTTCTTAAAATCTTCTATAAGATATAACAAAGAGATTGTATTTATTATCTTCTTTGGATTGATTGAAGCTATAATAATTGAATAATAAATTTTAGGCAAGTTGAGAGATGAGATTTGCTAAAAGGACTGATGATAAAAGAAATACAAATTGATGCCGATAACAACCAAATGGAAAAAAAAGAATTTATCTTTGAAATTCTTGCCTTAATTTCTCACTGTCAAAAATAGTAATGCCATAGAGAGGAAAAGCAGTGATCCATCGGATTCTTTCACATACCACTTTTTTTTAAAGTTTTTTTTTTTTTTTTTTTTTTAAGTAATCTCTACTTAAACGTAGGGGATCGAACTCACAAACCCGAGATCAAGAGTTTCACACTCCACCCACTGAGCCAGCCAGGTGGCCCTCACACACCACTTTACCAATATTTTTAATACCAGCATAACTATGAATTGCGTTAAGAGCAAACTGAAAATAGGTGTTTTTGTGGAGAACAAGCCCACCTGAAGTGACCAAAAGACACAGTAAAATGTCAATGATAGCTGAGATCTAACAGAGAAAAAGAAAAACCCGTAAATATACACATGAAATTAGAAGCTACCTGCATGTAAGAATGATTCAAGAGGATCCTAGATGATCCCTCAGAAGAGACAGAGATGGAATTTTTAAAGCTATAGGTGGACATTCTAAATAAATGTCGCATCTCTCTTAGTTCCCTCTGGTACTTACAATATCTTTAATAACCATGTTTTAAATGAATGAGAAAGAAAGAGGAAAAGCAAGCCCGTTGTGACAAAATATCTATTCTGTGAGCAAGAAAATACTCTATCTAAATATTTGCTCTCTCCAGTTTACTAAAATATGGTTGAAAATAGGTTTCTGGTAGATAATTGTTGACGTTGGGTGAGAGGATTTCATAATGGCATTCTCTCCTTGGTATATGTTTGATAGTTTTCATAATAAACATTTTAAAAATGAAGAAATGGACTCTAAGTTTTAGAGATTAGATAAGTTGACATTTGCAAAATTCATATTTAGTAATCAAAACTTGGAGATCATTGTGGAATTTCTTCCCTAGGAAAGATTTGCTGAGAGAAGGAATAACAACGTGGCATGTGCTATTTAGTGACAGTAAGCGAAAAGGCAGAAAAAGGCAGAAAGGGAAGTGAGGAGGGAGGGGCAAGGCACCATTTTAAGTGTGGTGGCTATTTTAACATTACAAGACTTCATTCTTCTGACGTTTCACCACCTCATTAACCTATGTGTCATTCTGAAGTATTTTGCCATGCTCTGATGATTAGAGACTCACTCGCTAACAACACAACATTCTAAATGCGAACCCTTTCCCTGGAGTCATGGTGAATTAATTTTCAATTAGTTTTCATTAATGAACTTCATTTTTATGGGTCTAATTGCTGTCCCAGCTTCGAGAAATTCAGCAAGCACGTTGGTGGGGTGGGAGGGAGACAGCTATGGAGTTTAGGAACATCCTGGGCCCTTTTCATAAGACCTTACTTCAATCATTGTCCAAAACAAACAAAAAAGTATCTAAATTATAAATCCAACATGTACCAAGAGAACCCATGAATCTTTTCTGGGGTCTTCAGAGGTAATTTTGTTGCTAGCTACAAGCTGGTGTTTACCTTGTGCCCCCAAAACCAGGCTCAAGATGGGAAAAATCAGACATAAAGAGAACAAAAGGCTCTGGGTGCGCAACTCTCTCTATGCCTTAGGTTCCTTTCATGGAAAAGGTTTATCCAGATTGTCCAGATCCAAATAATATGAGTCCATAATAGTTGGCAAATAGTTACAAACAAATTTAATACAGAAAGACAAACTACATAGTAAAACCAATGCTCTTGGATTTCTAATGAAAGACCAGTAGCCTGGGTAACATGCCCCCAAACCAAAACCCAGCAGCTTCTCAGGAAAAGTGTGATACCCTTGTGCCAAAAGACAATAAGGTTTCTAGCTCTTTCCATTTCCATTTTAAAAACCTGTAACTGAGAGCCATGAGATACTCACCACCCACAGCCTAAGACTTTGCCTTTATAACATTTAACGAACATTTTTCTTCCTTGTGATTTTTCCATGAAGAAAAGAAGTTTGTTGAGAACTTAATCCTTCGGTGTGAGCTCTTGAAGAGGCACATATTTTAAAGTACACTGTGATTTTAGAATTATAAAAGGTATTTAATTCCATCTTGTTACTCTGACTCAAAAATAAATAAAGCTCAGGGTGCCTGGCTGGCTCAGTCAGTGGAACGTTCCACTCTTGGTCTTGGGTTGTGAGTTCGAGCCCCACGTGGGGTGTAGAGATTACTTAAAAATAAAATTTTTATAAATAAATAAGGCAAGCTTATTTCCTAGTTAATGGTGTTAATTCTTCCCTTCACACACAAATGATTATTTCAGCTTTCTTTCAGTAGGTAGTTATTGAGTACTGATTTATTTGTAATACTGAGATCTTCAAAATTGTATCTACAAAAGCAAAACAAAAACAAAAAGCTAGAAGAGGGGGTCCTGTGCTGGTGAAATTATAAAGTAGTTGAGTGATGAAAGAGGAATGCATGAAATTGTAGAGTAGCGACAAAACAGCAAATAAGTGCAAAACAAATCAGCAGAAATTATAAGGGGACCTGTCCTGAGCATGTAAAGTAAAGCAAATTATGATTGCCCAAGACTTAGCTGGTGTTTTATTGTCTTTATTTACTTTCTTCGTCAGAAGCAGTTTCTCTGCATTGCTGAACATTTATTATGAAAACAAATTCAGATTTCAATTCTTTTTAAATGAGTGGTATCTTCTAGACAGAGCATTTCCTGAAATTCAGTTCTTTGCCCCCAGAGAGGCATAAAAATAAAATTGGGGATCTTCTGTGATGATGTAAAGACAAGGACTTCCACAAAAATCACTGGAAGCTAGAAATGTAAAATACTTTATTATGCACGTCACTTTAAAAGATCTGGAACATCACAGGACAAATTAGAATCCAATCTGTAAAACAGAAAAGGAATGATAGATAATAAAACTGAATTCGCCATATACAGGAACAAAACTACCCCTCAAAAGAAGTAGGTGGCCCATTAGCTAATACGATGAATTAAGGACAATTTGTCAAAACATTTAGAAATGTTTAATCTTTAATAAATGTATGTGTTTTTAACAAAATATTTCCTAACTGGTTATGAATTTAAGGTCTGGAGTCCGATGATGGGGTAGTAGAAAGAGGTCAGGTTTTAGAGCCAGACAGACAGACCTAAATAAATCCCATTTCTGACGTTTATGAACAGATTCCTAGGCAAGTTTCTGAACGTTTCTGAGCCTCAGTTTCATTATTGGTAAAGTACAAAAAATAGTAAGGCCTACATAAGAAGGATTTTGGTGAGGTTTAATTGGGATAACTCATATAAAAGGTTTTGCACGTGGTAAGCACCCAATAAAAGTGAACTCTTGCTATGATATATACTCAAGTAAACATGTGGAAGCAAGAAAGTCTCTAGGAGGATTGGGAGGTACCTTAAAAAGTTATCCCAGGGGCGCCTGGGTGGCTTAGTCGGTTAAGCGTCCGACTTTCGCTTAGGTCGTGATCTCGCGGTTCGTGGGTTGGGGCCCCGCGTCGGGGTCTGTGCTGACTGCCAGCTCAGAGCCTGGAGCCTGTTTCAGTCTGTGACTCCCTCTCTCTCTGACCCTCCCCTGCTCACGCTGTCTCTCTCTCTCTCTCTCTCTCTCTCCTAGAAATAAATAAAACATTTAAAAAAAATTTTTTTTTTTAAATTTTAAAAAAAAGTTATCCCAGCGAGGTATATAAAATATTTTTATTAAAAACCACTAAAAACATTTGGATACAGAACCAAATGAGAATGATGTGGCTGCCATCGCACAAGCTACCCCGTGGTCAATTCAAAGCACTGATGACATGTTATCAGTTTCCAAGTCTCAAATTCTGGCACAAAAATCAAGAATTTTAGTATTATTTTCCCTTCATAATTCCACAGAAACACCAGACTATTGGGTTCTAGTTTTTGTCCTAAACTCTCCTGAGTTAAAATCAACAAGAATATACATGTCCTGTGTCTTCCCATGAATAAAACATAAGTGGATATACGTGGTCTTATTAAGTCAGTTGGGAAAATAAAGTCCCCTGAAGTCATGCACCTGTTTTCTACATGTTCTGATGTAGGAAACGTCAACTCCCTTACAAGAACCACTGTGAAACTAGGCTCTTGAGTACATTTTCCTAAAATCAACATAATAATGCATTTTCTTACATGATACAGGTTTTTCCAAACCATTGAAGGACTTCTTCAAGACTCCCTAAACTTAGTCATAATGTCCTTATAAGGTAGATGATTTTTATGACTCTGATATTTTTTAGACACAACCACACTATAATAGCTGCAAGTCAAAGAGTTATTACCATAAAAAAGCAAGGAGAGAGAATTGAGTAAAATTATAATTCTGACTCTGCAAGATATTTTCAAAAAGAAGCCTTCTTACCTGTGGTAAAATAATAGAATGTTATTGCCCCCATTTCACCCTTATAAAATGTTAATTATTTTGTTTTCGTTTTTTTAAAATAGTAAGACACATACATAATTTCCAAAGTTTTAAAGTTTAAGAGGATATGTTCCCCCTCACTGATCTCTCACTTAAACTTGGTTCTTAAGTTGGAGGATCTATGCAGTCGTGTAGAAAGTAAATGTAATTTTACACTGATTTTACCTAATATATAAATGATAGGTGACAGATAGAATGTACCTCTGCCTTAATAATATAGTATACATTATTATCTTATGTATTACATTTTATAATATTAGTTAATAAGGTAGTATATTGAATCAGAAGTAAATTAACAAATAGAACAGAAGTTACTGCAAGGATTTTGTGACTTTTAGTTTTGAAGAAAATATTTAGCATGAAAGCCCGTTGTACTGCAAAAAGACCGTTAAGAAAAGTTATGAAAACCATTTCACTTAAGTGCTATTTGTATAAAGTCAAAGGAGAATTGCAGTGTATACTGTAGCTCCTATCTGGCCGGACCCAAATAACTGAAATTCTTGGTAGTCATAGGCAGTGATTACTCGTGTTTCTATAGAAGGCCCTATAACCTCTGCAAGACGCAAGTGCCTTCGGAAGTACAAAACAGCACAATCATTTGACTTAGTCTTGATATTAAAGTCATCTTACTATATTCTATTTCCTTAAAATGTATGCCCCAGAACTTAGAGTTTTATACCTGTGGCAATTGTTTTGTTACCCAGAATATTAAATTAATCATACTCTGTATTTATTATCCTTAAATTCTTTTTTTTTAATGTTTTATTTATTTCTGAGAGAAAGAGAGACAGTGTGAGCAGGGGAGGGTCAGAGAGAGAGGAAGACACAGAATCTGAAACAGGCTCTAGGCTCGGAGCTGTCTGTCAGCACAGAGCCTGACACAGGGCTTCAACCCACAAACTGTGAGATCATGACCTGAGCCAAAGTCGGACACTTAACCGACTGAGCCACCCAGACACCCCCATTAGCCTTAAATTCTTTAAAAAGAGGAGTTTCCTCTAAGTTTAACATGGATATAAGAGGACACATGGAGAGAAGGAAAGCTGATACTTACCTCTACGGCATCATAAGTAAGATGTGTGTCCTTTGTTCCCACTCTTGACTGCATTATTGTTAATATTGCCTTAGAGTAGACTGAGAAATTTTATACTTTTGTTGTTGTTTTTCCTAATAAATAACAATGGTACATTATCAAGCATTCAGATGATTCTTAATAGATTTTGATTCCAAAAACACAATACCTTAAATGCATACGATGTATTTCAAATGATTACATTGCTGCTCTTTAGATATTTTCTACAAGGAAAAATACTTTAAGTAAACACAAGTAATTGTGCTGAGATATCATAAAGACACATTGAACATTTATGGTACTCAGTTTTATAAGTTAACAATTTAATACTATTTACTGGTGGGGTTTTTTCAGAGCTAGTTACTTTGGTTTTTTTTTTACATCCATTTTAATAATTATGCATCGTACATGGATTGAATAACCACCTTAAAGTGTGTCTCCCTGAATCTAATTTGGAAGGTAAATTATTAACACAAAAAAACATTTTTAGAGGTTCCTGCTGAAAATTTTAAAAATATCTTATGCGTGCTTTGCTTTGAGTTTTTAAAATGTTTCGAGCACCCTATATTGTTCCATAATTATTCACTATTCAACGTTTTTATGTTTATATGCATCAACATTAAAACATTTCTGTTTTAACAGACAGAAACCAAAGGAAGCAAAGAAATGCACAATTAAACCAGAAAGATACTGTGTCATCCAATACTCAGATACCACAGGGTATGTTAAGAGGGCCATTAAAACAGCATTCTGTTGTGTTACAATGACATATGGTAGACTTCCAAAATTAACAGAGTATTTTGCTGCCTACTGGCTTGTATCACAGGCTTAATAGTCTGGGGGGGCGAGGTGCAGTGGTAAGGGGGCAGTGAGGTGCTTAGGGCTTTTTTGGGCAGAGGGGGCACTTAAAATGTCTTCTGTGTTTTGATAAGTACTTTTGAGAGTTCATGAAGCATTCATCTCTCTTAGATAAGTGATTCTGGTTAAGAAAACACTCAGAAATCTCATCTCTTTTGTTTGTTTTCTCACACTTCTCTCCTTTGCTCTGTGCCTATCCACTCCTCGTTGTTGACTAGGGTAAGCTCTCTGCTCTCCTCCTCTCAGCCAAACTGCATTTTTTAAAAGATTTTTTTTATATACAGGGAAGATCTAAACCTGTTTCGTTATAATATCAGTTGTTCACGCCTGATCTACTGGGTTGCGAGTTTCCCTTGACCTTTCACATGTGGGGATGCGTCTCCAATTTTGTTTAAGACACACGGGGTTAGCTCTGCCTCAGCACACCCCCGACACCCACAATGCAACAAGAGACTTACTCTCACTTCACTTCAGCTTTATAAAATATTCAGTTTATGCCCTCGAATGCGTTCACTATATAAATCAGATTTCAATATGTTTCCAAAATATGGAATGCATTTCTCAACCATAGGGAAGAACGTAGAATCTCATCTCAAACTTCACATAATCAGGTCACTATGTGGCACTGGCTGTTTTCAAAATGAAATGAAGGCTTTTAGAGTCATACAAACTCAACCTCAATGTCCACGTATACACTTTCTAAATATTAATTAGGATACTCCGTAGCTTTTATAAACTGTGGTGGGGCCTCCTCTAGACCTCCAACCACCGCCATCTGGTTCTAAAGCATCTATTGGCCATTTGTTCTACCAAATATCAGATTTCTTTCTGAGGGTGTTATATTTAGATTTCTGAAAAAGGCAGCAGTAATACTTAGCTCTATGCCCCTGACTTACCCCCAACGGGGTCAAAGGACAGTATCTATTTTGAGGTCAATTACACCGTCTCTCTTGTTTAGAAGGACCTTAGTTATGCAATGTTCAAGATACAAAAGGCAAAAGAGTCCTCCTGCACCCAGAACTGCTGACACTACACATGAGAGATTCCAGCCCTGCTGAATTCCTTCTTCACGCGGTGTAAAACGACAAAGTACAGACACGAGTTCACCAGGCAAAGGATAGCTGGCGCATTGGTAGCTGGTTTTAGTTGACTTTCTCCTTGTGCAGCCATAGCATGTTTAAGAACACTGGCCTGGAGTTTAAGTGGCCTGGGTTCAAATTTCACACATTGCTAGCTGTATGATTTGGGGCAAGTTAGTTAGCTTAACTTTCTCCTCTATAGAATTAATAACAGCATCTACTTCATAGAGCTTCAAGTGTCACAATGCATGTAAAGTGCCTAGCGCATGCAAATACGTTAGTATTTGTTATTATTATTTCATCCATTCATTTAACAAACACTGAACACCTACTGCAAAGCATTTTATGGATGGAGAAGTGAGGCACAAAAATCGTGGGCAGCATCCAAAGTTACTGGGAGTTTTTTGGGGTTTTTTTTTAATGTTTTATTTATTTCTGAGAGGGAGAGAGAGAGACAGCGTGAGCAGGGGAGGGAGGGAGACACAGAATCTGAAACAGGATCCAGGCTCTGAGCTGGCTGTCAGCACAGAGCCCAGCGCGGGGCTTGAACCCATAAGCCGTGAGATCATGATCTGAGCCGAAATCGGATGCTTAACCGACTGAGCCACGCAGGCACCCCATCAAAATTATTGTTTAAACAACAGCCGGACACAGATGTCCTAATGTCAGTTTTTATCTCACCAGGCTAAGCTGGCTCTGTTAAGATGGGATATTAAAAACCCAACCTAGATTTGGGAAACAGCCAGGAGCCTCTCTAAAACTGGAACATTTTAATGAAAAGATCATTTCTTATTTTGGTTTTGTGCGGTTATAATGATTTCAAACATGTCTATAAAGCTTTCATAAGCAGAACAAAATTAGACTGAAATATAAAGATGACCCACTAAAATGTACCAATAGATCCATGCAAAAATCTGTCTCGTGCTTTACCTGTGTCTTGGTACAACCTAGAAAATAAGCCTTGTAAAGTAAGGACCTGAGATTTTTATTTCTTTAATTGTACATATTGTCTTTATTTCTTCATATAATGAGATTCTTATAACTTTTAATCAGTACTATTTACAATATAGAAAATAATAAGGACAAACAATGGGTGAAAGGCAGAAGAAGACAGTGTCCTTTGAATCAGTGATTTATTTTCCCAAATGAATGCTTACCCTCCTAATAAAGTGAAGTTATTTTACTAAACAGATTAGCCCACATCCACCCTGCCAAATGCTGGTTTTAGATTCCCAGTGGAACAAATATTGCTTAAATCTTTAATTTCCATATCAGTAGTACTGAATTGAAAATTTCAGGCTCTGTAAATTCAAAAAACTTAAGACTGGATAAAAGGCTATGAAATCAAATTAAATATAAAGTTCTTCACATATTCTAGTAGGAACCAAAACATATGATACTTTGGTTGTTTCTGCACAACAATGCAAAAAAATGTTTATTTTCAAAAGTAATAAAATCAGGGACACCTGGCTGGCTGTCAGTAGAGTATACGACTCTTGATCTTGGGGTTGTAAGTTCAAGCCCCATGTCGGGTGTAGAGATTGCTTCCAAATAAAATCTTTTTTTAAAAAGTCATAAAATCAATAGCTAGTTAGTATGGTCACTACAACACTTCAGAGCCAATCCAACAACGAGACAATGAGACTTTTTTTCCCACTGAAGGCACAGAAAGTAATTACATTAAGGCTGTTCAAATAATTTGACCAAATTTAATTAGTGCTCTACAGACGGATTTTCTGAACATCTTTAACCAGAATGCTTGGGTTTGAGATAGACTCACACTTCATGACATAAATATGTCAATGTGTTAAACTTGATCCTTCTTAAATCCCTCCAATTGAAAACTGTGCCAAAATTAATACAAAAATAAATTTTGGAACAGCCAGAAGTCAAAATGTGTATTTTGAATGACAGCAGTTCTTCTGCCTTATAATCATTTCTTTAGCCCATATAAAAACCTCTTTACAGCTTCGGTTCCATGATTGTGCATTTCTGATGCAGATAATTTATTATAAGAAAATCAAGACCGTCCTGGTCTGTGTAAGTGCATTTAAATTTTGCTCTGCTGTGAGATATAACCTTGATATTATAAAAAAGTGGGAATGAACATTTTTACAAATGACAAGACATTTTATGCAAAACTAACATTTGACAGTGTCATTTACAATAACAGTGAGTTTTTTAATCCATGGAATTCCTGGAGTACCTAATCTGTTGTGCAAGGTACTTATCAGTTTGGGGTCACATTGTAACACAGCTCTGAGCTTAGTATTCACATTTATGTTTCCTCTCCCCTGGCACGATAGTAATTTTGAAACTGATCAAAGTAAGATTTCTCTTATTGAATAGAAGTTGAGATGAATCTATTCATTCATTTCACACATTTTCACAGAGTGCCTATTACGTGCCAGCTAAGGACCTGTGCAGAGAAAAATTCGTGGTCCCTTCTGTCACATGGCTGAGAGTCTAGTAGAGGAACCAGGGACAAATAAGTGTATAATTTAAAGGTGATAAGTGTTATGAAGGAAAAGTGTAGGGTACTTTGAGCTAGAACAGGAAGGCTCTAATTTAGTTAGGGAGATCAGGGAAAGCCTCTCTGCTTGCGGCAGCCATCTCTCTACCAGGACAAAAGCCAGCTTGAAAATAAAGCCAACATACAGGAGAAGAAAGAACCCAGATAATCACAGTGAAATGAAGCCCTTTCCAGAAGGTTTTGAATTTACTTTGCCCAGATGCATCAGAGGAATCACTACCTATGGCATCTGCAACCTATGAAATGCATATCTTAAATAATAAGACTTGAAAGTCAAAATTACTCCTTGATCCCTGGGCTGCAGAATGGATGCTGTATTAGCAGGTATGGAAACAACATTAATCTCATTGTATATCTCCATCAGAGCTCTTGGGTGACCAAGTACATTGCCCGTGTGCAGGAATCTTTTTTTTTCTGAGCACTAGTTCTCGACAATGGGCTGAAAATAATCAGTAAACCATGTTGTAAACAGGTGTGATTTCACCCACAGGCTTTGTTGTTCCATTAGGGCACAGGCGGAGTAGATTGAGCATAATTCTTAACAGCTCTAGGGTTTTTGGAATGGTCAATGAGTATTGGCCTCATCTTCAAGTCACCAGCCAAATTAGCCCCTAATGAGGA